ACATTTTCATTTCATTTTTTAATTTTTTTTTTTTGCTTCCTCGAAATTTTAAATCTATCATGGTAAGAACTAGGATATTAGCAAGGTTCTTGTCGATCCCAATTTATCTTACCATCCTCAATCCATTGCTAAGTACCTTATCAATTTAGGTCATTTTGAAGAGGCTTATTTTGTACTTTTCCAAAATCAACTGTACAAAGAAGCAGCCATGGTCTTGGTCCATGAACTGAGAGATATGGATCGGTATGTTCAATAGTTCATCCTTTGAACACACTCTATGGATTCTTCTCATATAAATAAATAGTCCTTAAAAAACTTGGAAAGAAAAAAAAAAACATAATAAATCTAGCTTTTAAATTTTCTAAAAAGTTTAGACAATATTCATTGTTAAATTTATTTATTAATTTAAAAATACAATAATTTAGTGCATTTGAATTAGCCAACTGGCTAGATAATCCAGAAATTTGGCAAGTGCTCGGTAAAGGTCTAGCGGATTACTTACATCAGTCGTCTAGGTTTAAAGAACTTTTCAACTACATGTACCAAAATCCAAATATGAAGCTTCCTTGATATTCAACGATAATATTTAAAAAAAAAAAAAAGGTTTCTTTAACCTCGATTTTTATTTTTATTTTTATTTTTCGCGGTCGCGTTTTGATTTTGTAATTATACCTCTTTTTTTTTTTTTTTTTCTATGACAAATGTTGACTTAGTTATCGTCATCTATTTGATTTTTTTGTGTGTCTTTTCAATGTACCTCATCCTTGCTTCTGATGCTTACGTTTATACTTACTACTTCCTCCAGTTAATAAATTCTTATCCAAAAAATGCAACAACAAGAAGGAAAAAAAAAAAAAAAAGGGAAGAAAATTTAAGCCCTTTTTTTTTTATAATTTTTATGAAACTTAGAAAAAAAATTTTAAAAAAACAATGCTCCATTTCAAAATTGAAAAAAAAAAGAAAAAAAATATATACAAATAAAAAAGAGAAAAAAATAAACAAGTTTCATCTCTTTTAAATTATACAATATAAGCCATTAGTTATTTTAAAAATTTTATACAAATTTGAATTTCCTTTTTTAAACTTCAATGTCTAGTTTATCTAAAAATTTTTTTTTTCTTTTAAAATCTTAAAAAAAAATTAAAAATAGATAAAAATTACAATATTACTATGCATTTGAGGTAGTTGTGCGTGCGGTCTTATGGTCTAGTGGTTATGACCCAGGACTTTGAATCCTGTAACCCGAGTTCGAATCTCGGTAAGACCTTGAAATTTTATCTTTTTTTTTTTCAATTATTAAGCCTAATTTATTGTTTTGCAATAATAATTTTTTTTTTATTTTTTGAATAGTATTTAGAATTGAACCTTACTTTTTTTTTTCATTTTTTTTGGTTTTTTTAAAATCTAAAAACTCTTTTTTTTTTTTTTTTTTTTTGCATTCATTTTCTTAATCAAAATGAAATGTGTCTTATGGGTTGTGGAGATTTGATATCAGCCACTTTTATCTATCTTGAAGAAAATTAAAAGTGGCGTTTTTAAAGCCAAACGGCATCTTCCATTGCAAGCATTTAAGAAAAATATTCCGCCTTGAGTTTTTTCGCGTTTTTAAATATTTTTTTTTCAATTTAAATTTTTCTGCCTCTCTCATTGAAAACTGCTTCCTCTTGTTTTCACCTTTTTGGACTTCGTGGTGATTTTGTTTACGAACCTGCTCTAATACGCTTGAAGGAACCAATCTGAAACAATTTCACTTTTTTTTTTTTTTTTAATTTTCAATCAGTGAATCATGATTTTCATTTCTTCTCATTCCATTATTTTTTCGATTTTTCTCGTGTCTTTTGTTTCAAGAACTTTTGGGTCAAATTTTCTTAATGAACACGCCAGTACCAACTATCATATTTGGAAAGACTTTCATATTTTTCCAGACTATGAAGTCAAAAACATTTTCAGCCTTTATGGAAACTCTTCTTCGAACATTTCTCATTCTAATGATTTCCAAACATGGCTCCATGCGGACAATAAAATGAACAACGTTTCGGAGTTTAAAGCTTATTTTCTTGGCTTTCAGTCATCATGCTCGGACTTAGTATATCTTCCTTCTTCTATCTCCATGTTAAATGGTAAAATCGGGAAATGGTATTCAGATATTCAAGTTTTGTACTTATTTTTTCCAAAAACGACACCTTTGACTAAAATTCAAAAGCTTCCTTGCCTTGAATTCATTGAAGCACCCAAACTTTGGACTTACCAGCAGTTCTTTGGATTTTCTGCTATCCCAATGGGTTTTGGTGGAAAGGGAGGACAAGGGTCATCTAACTTAGCAGCAGGTATGCAACTCTTGCAAGGTATGCAAGGTATGCTTGGAGAAGGTAGTGGGATGCCATTCATGCAGGGAATGCAAGGTGGCGGTGGGATGCAACAAATGCTTGGGAACCAATTAGCATCACAATTAATGGGAGAGTTTGGATTCCCGGGAATGGACGGAGAAATGATGAATCCGAACTCAGGGAACCAAGGTTATCCTTCTTCGCAACCAAATTATCCACCTCCTTTGTCAAACCCTGATGTAATTTCACCTCCTTTTTCAGAATCTCCCATTCCAAAATTACCACCGTCAATTCCATATACCACAGAATCATTCCGAAATTCCTTCGCAACTCAAGTTAATCCCTTCTCCAGTCAGACGACAAGTAGTTCCAATCTAAAATTGTCGGATGTTGGTTTTAATTTGAACACACCCACCTCGAAATTTACAACCACTATTCCAACTATAACTACCCTAACTTCTATTAGCTCTGTATCTTCAATTTCTACTTCATTTATCATAGCTACGACTCCCGCTTCAAGTTCTACTTCAACTCCTCTTGCCTCTACTTCAGGTTTAACTATCTCGACCTCTAAGCCGAGTTTTACAAGTAGTCCTCCTACGAGTAATGCAACTACCTTGTCTAATGCTACTTCCATTAATTCTAATTCAACCTCAACTTCCTCTTCATTAAAACCTGCAGCTACTCCAAAGCTTATCAAAGAAGGCGAGGATTTGAAAAATGCAACAAAAGTTGAGTCGAAGCTTAGAAAAGTTGGAAATTTTACTTTTCAGGATGTAAAAAAGCAAAGCTCTTGGCCTGCTGGTATGAACTTATGGGCTTTAGATGAGCTAGATGGGCAATTGGATGATTCTTACCAGTTTCGATATTCAGGAAAAGGTTCGGATTTTATTTTTTAGTGTATTATTGTTCATTACGTTTTTTTTTTTTAATTCGCTTGATTAATTTCTCTACTCCTTTTAATTATTGATCTTCTCTTTAAATAAATTTGAACACAGGTGTCCATGTTTATTTATTAGACTCTGGCGTCGAGTTCGATCATCCTGATTTCACCCCTAACAAAGTGGAAGTCATGTATTCAAGTCCTAATATTAACACTTTAAATACGCGTGATTGTACTGGACATGGGTCTCATTCTGCTGGACTTATATCAGGAAAAATAACTGGGGTAGCAAAAGATGCGTTTGTTCACGTCTTACGTATTTCAGGGTGTGAAATGAGCTTCACGGATAAAAGTGTACTGGATGCAATGGAATACTTGTCAAGTCGAATTCAAAAGCCTGCAGTGGTGAGTATTACCTTATTGCCATTGAGTGACGAGGTGTATAACTTACCTAGTATCAAGAAAATGTTCTTACGTTTTGTAATGGATTTGAAGGTGCCCATTGTAATAGCATCCGGAAATCAAGGCACAGACAAGTGTAGCGACTTTGGGTTAACGAAGGGTATTATTTCAGTAGGTTCACATACGGAATCAAAGTCACAAGCCATGTTTTCGAATTTTGGAATGTGTTCAAATTTATATGCACCAGGGACCAATGTTTGGTCGCATACAAATTCAACTTCTCCAAATCAATTATATGTAAAAGCCAATGGAACATCCATTTCTACTCCCATGACTGCTGCAGTGGTCGCCATGATGCTCGAGCAAAACCCTCAGTTAACTCCATCTCAAATACAAGATATACTCACCTCCAGTTCCAAACAAACTTTAACAGACAAATCAAATACGAAAATACCAATTTTAAGTGTACCGCTTGAGACATACTCAGTGAAAAACGCACAAGAAAATTTGCAAAAAGGTTCAAACGCGATAAATTTTTTGCCCATTATCGGTGGAGTTGCTGGGGGTTTATTTGTTTTAGCAGCAGCAATTGGTGGATTTGTTTGGAACCACAAACGCTCTCGATCCAAGCCACCTATGTCTTATAAGCCGAATTCTCAAGCCTATTCCATTCAATTTTCAGAAGCGCATAAAACAGCTTATTCTTCTAGCTATAGCATTGAGTCTAGGGATTGTTCACAACTATCCATGGAAAAGCAGAATTCAATGCACTCAAGTGCTGCTGGAACGTTTTATGAAAGTCAAGTTTTTGAGAGTGATAAGATTGAATCGGACTGTGAAGACCAATCTGCATATTTTCCTGATGAAACGTTTATCGAACCACGACGAGAACGGGCTGAATCAGTAAATAGTGTAACTTCATTACTGAGGTAGTTGCTTTTTTTGCCTAAGTGTTTATTTTTACTTGTAAGTTATTTCTGTATTCCTTTACTTTTTTATTAAATTTTTTTGTGGATATTTGTGCATATTCATTAATTTTTTTTTGTTTCATTACGATTAGTTAATTTTGTATTATATTCAATTTAAATATAAATAAAGAATCATGTATCACTTATCACCTCACCACCTATGAAATATTTTATTTAAGAATTTGCTGGAAAAAAACAATGAAAATGAATTTTTTGATTTTCTTAATGTAAGTTGGATATTAATTTTATGAAAAAGGATTGAAATAAAAACACATTTTAACTTATGCAAAAACAAAAGTTGCAGGCGATCTCGTTAATTTTTTAAAATACAAGTAAATTCAGTCAATCATGCCTCAAATTGAGATGGCCAGTCTTGTGATTTTTTCAGGTCCAGTAACTGAAATTCGTTCTAGAGTCAAAAGCTTAAGTAAGAAAGTAAAATTTAAATTTCACTTTTTATATTTTACGTTTACATTTTTTAAAAATAGGAATGAAATCTTTAGAGAGCGAATATATACAGACTTCATAATTGCGATCAAGTTGTATCGTTTATACTGTATTTAATTTTCTGAAATAGATTTTATGCTAATGATATAAAAGAATTTTTTAATATTTCTTACGTTCAAAGGGGGGACTCAATCCATTCGAATCAAGGTATTTCAATTCATGAGCATGGTAGAAATAACATCGAGAACCATAAG